CTATGGCGTCAAGAATGCCATGGGAGTCCATTTGAAGAAGCCCTGGAAGGTTTTGTGCACCTCCTACTATGGCATCGGCTTTGACTCGCCGTTGTCCAGGAGACCATGAACATGCAGAATGTCTTGGAGGCTAAGACGCCCGAAACTCCGGCTTCTACCCGGAAGCCATGTGTCGGACCATCTTTCGAACGGTCCAAACTATGAACCATCATCTCGGAGAAGGAGCCTTTTTGGATAATTTCCCGGTTTTTGAAGACACTCTCATGGAGGAGAACAAGAAGAAGGCTGTGGAAAGCCCTCTGAGTGACCATGAGAAGAAGGCGGCCATGAACACTTTGGCAAAGCTTCATCGTCGGACTGGACATCCGTCGAACAATGCTTTGTCCAACTGTTTAACTGTTTGAAACACCGTGGTGCTCACCATGAGGTGATCGAAATGGCCAAACGATATCAGTGCCCTGAGTGTCAAGAACTACGTCTTGCAGAGCTCAACCCTTCTGGAGCCCTCCAGCGTTCCGAAACACTCTGGGAAACCCTTGTTTTGGACAACGCCGAGCTGCCCATCGACAACCAGGTAGTGCATTGCATGGTCATGATGGACGAAGCTTCTCGTTTGGTTTGCCCACATTTCCTTTTTCAGCATGAGAAAACGGAGAGCCGCAACTGCACTGGGTTTGAGGCTATGAGAGCAATTGAAGAGACCTGGGTTCGACACTATGGCAACCCAGCTTCCATTCGTTTGGATCCTGAAGGAGCCTTTAAGTCCACCGACCTCATGGAGTGGGCTGCAGAGAGAGGCATAGAAGTTCTTCCCTGCGCTGCAGAGGCGCATCAGCAGATTGGTGGAACGCATGATCCAGACCATCAAGAACACGACAAAAGAACTTGTCCAGTCAGGAGAATTTGACGCCTGGTCGGCAATCATCCATGCCTGCAGAAGCCACAACGAAGGGGAACGAATTGAAGGATACGCCCCGTTCCAATGGGCATTCGGACGGATGCCAACTTTGAGCGGAAGTTTCCACAACAAGTCTCATGACCTACCCTTCTGGACATCTTCAGGCATTCCTGGCAGCTCAATGGCTGTCAATTTGAAGCAAAGAGTGAAAGCCCAGAATGTCTTCATGAGACACCAGGCCTTCGACCAGATCACTCGGGCTGCAAATGCTAAGACTCGAAGACATCAAGTGTTTTTTGCCAGGAGACCTTGTGTTCTTCAAGCGCATCAAGCCTCCGGCTCAACCCCAAGCTGCAGCTCGCCGCACAAGCTATGGAGATGGTACGGACCTGCCAGAGTCCTTGCCAGTGAGACGAGGACAGATGCCCAAGGAGCTGAACGTCAGCCTTCCCACATTGTGCGGATTGTGTCTCATGGTCGACTCAAGCGATGTGCTCCTGAGCAGTTGAGGCATGAAGTTGCTGGCGGAGAACGCCGATGCTCCAACGACTTCCTGGACCTTCCATGGCCTCACAAAGACTCTCTACAAGGGCGAGTTTGAGATCCTGGACAAGAATGTCTTTCCAGAGGACCTTGAAGCTCGCGGCCCACCTCGAGAGCGAAGAGCAAGATCCCGGAGCCGCACGCCGGGGACACCAAGACCTCAAGCTGCTGCACCTTCGACGCCTGTGCCTGAGCGTCGAACACAGAGCCAGCCTCTCAAAGAAGCCCGGACGTCCAGAAGGTCAAGAACACCTACGCGCGAGCCTGACTCGCGTGAAAGAAAGGAAGAGAAGAAGATGGAAGCTGCAGAGCCATCCGCGCCATCAACGCCAAAGCCACGTGGTGCATCATCTGGCCGAGTCAGCTTGCCAAGATTGGTGCGTGATCCCACCTACGCACCGGATCCTGGACAGAAGCCCAAAGAACGCTCCATTCCGGAACTCTTCGGACAGCCTCTCTTCAAGAAGCAGAGGAAACAACTTCATGGAGAAGATGACGACCTGATGGCAGACAACATGCATGCCGAGGCCTTTGACCTTGAGGTTCCCGAGGACTATGCTTGCGCCTTCCTCATCGACTTGCCCAAGAAGGCCTCAGAGTGGAAGAAGCTCAGAAGAAATTCCGAGAGCTACTTTCTCAAAAAGGTCAAAGGTGCCGAAATCCAATGGCACAAACTTGATCCAGGAGAAAAGAAGAAGTTCACAGAAGCTAAACACCTTGAAGTACAACAGTGGCTCACTGCCGCTGCTGTCAAGCGGGTGACCGGTGACTACCCCAAAGATCGCCTAGTCAGGATGCGTTGCGTCCTGACATACAAGGAGAGCGGTGCTGCAAAGGGACGAATAGTCCTCATTGGGTTCGAGGACCCAGACCTTGGATCCATCCAATCATCGGCTCCCACAATGTCAAAGAGGACAAGACAATTGGCCCTTCAGTTCTCCAGCATCAAACGATGGAGGATCCTGAAAGGAGACGTGAAGAGCGCCTTCCTTCAGGGTGACCCTGATGAAGCTGACCGAGCTCTATATGCTCGTCCAGTGCCAGAACTGGCATCAGCCCTTGAGATGAAGGAGGGCGAAGTGGTGCAAGTTTTGAAGTCATGCTATGGCCTAGTGAATGCTCCGGCCAACTGGTACCTTTGTGTTCGACGAACTCTGGCGGACCTGAACTTCACCCAGAGCCGCAGTGACCCATGTCTTTGGTTCTACTACATGAACACCAACGACCCTGAGAAACCCAAGGACCTTGCGGGCTATATCTGCTCGCACGTGGACGACTTCATCGTCAGCAGCAATGAGGAATGCGAAGAATGGGTAGAGGCCTTACAGGCCTTTCATGGAAAGTTCCGATGGTCACCATGGGAGTGCCAGAACTTCATCCATTGTGGCATCCGCATCCGAGAGGAACCAGATTTCAGCTTCACTCTTGATCACTCGGCCTACAGCGAGTCCATTGAGCAGATCAACTACACCACCAAGAACGAGCATGATCCCTTGACGCCTGATGAAATGTCCCAACTGCGTGGCGCTCTAGGAGCATTGCAGTGGAGGGCACAACAAACAGGCCCTTATCTGATGGCAAGACTTGGACAACTTCAGAGTTCCATCACCAAGGCCAACATCGATACCATCAAGGCCACGAACAAGCTCATCAGAGAGAACTTCCAACACCGCTACTTGTCAGCCCGGATTAACCAGATTCATGTGGAAGACCCTCGTGATGTTCAATTTGTGGCATGGAGCGACGCGGCTCTCGCCAACCGCATCGACCTCAGCTCGACTGGTGGATTCCTGATAGCAGCGACTTCTGAGAAGATGCTCCGTGGGGATCGAGCTCCACTGACCTTGGTTGCTTGGCGCTCCAGCCGCTTGGCAAGAAAAGCTCGAAGCTCATTGGCCGCTGAAACGCAAGCCATGAGCGAGGCTGACCAAGAACTCCTTTTTGTCCCTTTAGCCTGGGCTGAATTTTGCGGGTTTGAAGTTGAATTGAGGCACAGTGAGAAGACAATCTCACGAGTGCCGGGTATGGTGGTCACCGACGCAAAGGCACTCTATGACATTTTGTTGAAGAGTGACCTAAATTCGGCTGCTGCGGGGTTGCGCGATAAGTACTCCGCGCTGGAAGTGCTTTGCCTTTTGGAATCCCTGGCAAAGCTAGGAACCAAGGCGAGGTGGGTACACAGTGATGCCCAACTTGCCGACCACATGACGAAACCCCTGCCAGTCGGCACACTCCACCGGGTCCTGGCGCTTGGACTCTAGTGTTCGATCCAACGTTCACTAGCGCCAAGAAGGTGAAAGCGGCCATGAAGCAACGTTCCAGTCAAGACTTTAGGGGCGTGTCCATTTCTGAGCTTGAGTCACCTCAGCCGTTGAACCTTCTTTGACCTCCACTGTTGCTTCACGGCCCGAACCTTAGGGGACCCTTTTGCCTTCGTCTTTGACCAAGCCATGACGGCTTGAACCGCTACGGTGCGTTGAAACTTTGCGGTGCTCGCGTTGCATTGCTTGTCGGATCAAGGTGATCCTTACATTGTGTTGCTACAGGTTGCATACATTGTTGGCTCTTGAGGTTGCCACTACAGGTTCCAGGACTAGCCACTTTCTACTTGAGGCTACCCTGCTACCGACACTGGTAGCGGAGCTTCGGTCTTCGGACTGAAGCTCTGTTGCCGAGGACGCGCTTGCAGAGCAACGTTGAATTCTTCTTGAGTTGCCAAAGCAATTAGGTTGGAGGCCATCGCTAGTAGTAGGTTGGAGGCCAAAGCAATTAGGTTGGGGGCCATCGCTAGTAGTAGGTTGGAGGCCAAAGCAATTAGGTTGGAGGCCATCGCTAGTAGGTTGGAGGCCATCGCTAGTAGGTTGGAGGCCAAAGCAATTAGGCTGGAGGCCATCGCTAGTAGGTTGGAGGCCAAAGCAATTAGGCTGGAGGCCATCGCTAGTAGTAGGTTGGAGGCCAAAGCAATTAGGTTGGAGGCCATCGCTAGTAGTAGGTTGGAGGTCAGAGCAATTAGGTTAGAGGCCATCACCAGTACAGGTTGGAGGCCAAAGCAATTAGGTTGGAGGCCATCGCTAATAGTAGGTTGGCGGCCAAAGCAATTAGGTTGGAGGCCATCGCTAGTAGTAGGTTGGAGGCCAAAGCAATTAGGTTGGAGGCCATCGCTAGTAGTAGGTTGGAGGCCAAAGCAAGTAGGTTGGAGGCCATCGCTAGTAGTAGGTTGGAGGCCAAAGCAATTAGTTTGGAGGCCATCGCTAGTAGTAGTTGGGAGGCCAAAGCAATTAGGTTTGAGGCCATCGCTAATAGTAGGTTGGTGGCCAAAGCAATTAGGTTGGAGGCCATCGCTAGTAGTAGGTTGGAGGCCAAAGCAATTAGGTTGGTGGCCATCGCTAGTAGTAGGTTGGAGGCCAAAGCAATTAAGTTGGAGGCCTTCGCTACTAGGTTGGAGGCCAAAGCAATTAGGCTGGAGGCCATCGCTAGTAGGT